TATAATAGTTCATCTTAAATCAATATTGACTTCCTTCCTCTGAAGTTGTATTTGGATATTCGGTGTCTGTAATATAGCTGTATAGTGTCATTAGTCCTTACTGTAGATATGGCTCTTGCCAAAAGATTCTGGTAATATCAAAATATATGCGTTTTGTCACTTTTCGGTTCTGGATAAATTTAGCGTCAAGTATTCTTTTGATTATTTGTCTCCATCAAAGTCTTACAACTGCCCAGTATAACTATAAAAATGACACACATTACTTGTTTCTTATTTCTCATTACATCCACTGCGTTTAAATATTTTTCCATTTTTTACTAATCCTTGCCTATTTTCCTGTTTTTTTGTTGTCAGCATTTTTTTGATGAAAAAAAGCTATACCATACTCTAGTCATAGATAAGTGGTGTATTATTGGTCTCCTGACTCATTCAATTGCATCATCACACTCTTGTTAAAATATTATGGAAGCAGTACATAAATGTATCTGATTTGTATACATGTGGTTCCTAGCCTTAGCGACGTAGTAAACATCGACTGAGGTTGTCGTGATTCTGTAGTCTTGGTTTACTTACATACTGATAGCACCCAGTGATAAGTAGTTAAATCCGGTATCGTGAGTCTTTTTCCCTGAGATTTGGTGGACGTAATTCCAGTCTTTCATTTCAAGTACGTGGTTCAATATGATCTTTATGTATAGATAATACTTAATCCATCCCTAAGTATCGTACAAATTTTCCTAATACTCATGAAATCGCTCCTAGTCGGCCTTACATAAAACAGAACCCCATATAATTGTGTATCTACTTCAGTTTCTTGAATTAGGGAGTCCGCATATTTATGCACACTTCGATTTTACAATAATAAGATAGATTCAAACGCTACTGCACTAGGCTTGGCGCAGAGAACTGGTGTTTTTAATCTTTACATTGGAAGCGGATCTAGTAGCTTAATGTGTCTGTTAACGTGTGATTAGTGCACTACATTACTTGTATCACTTTTCAAGACAGTAATGCCGAGTTCTGACCAGGCGAATGATTTTATCGTTCGATACATGCTTCTCATAGTATCATTTCTCGGAAGCGGTATTATCAGTTACTTGAACGTAGTTTTGTGATTTCTATTTTTACTTGTTAACTAACAATTTTCTAAGGATGCACTCCAACTTATTTCTCAATTATCATCCACCTTTGTGATTTTTGTATGTCGATGATACACAACAACTCGGTCAAGCGTGTACATGTACCTTTCGGATACCAAGGTGAATAGTAGAAGAGTCGTAGCCCACAGTCCAATAACACAACGATCTTAAAGTATTAATGAGCCACGATCTTATGACCATGTTCCACAGCCGCACGGTCACGGCTTGAAGGTTCATAAGTATATGGGCTTTAAGACGGAAGTTTACCATTTTGGATATTAATATGTTCGCCAAAATATACACAACGTTAGTGAGACTCAAACCTAGAAACTTCGTTCAGTCTACAAGCTCCTGTTTAAAGGTTGACTCTGATATCTTGGATATTAATATGTTCGCCAAAATATACACAACGTTAGTGAGACTCAAACCTAGAAACTTCGTTCAGTCTACAAGCTCCTGTTTAAAGGTTGACTCTGATATCTTGAAAATAGTACCGAGGGCAGCTACCCGTTCAATTTCAGAACTTCAGGGTTTCCCGTACAAAGAGCGGGATGAGAAGCCAGACCCCTTGATTCTGTCCTACTGTAGATTAAAAAGTGATCTGATGTTGGTGTATAGAATATTAAGAAATGATCCTGAACCTATTTATTTATTTATTTAAACACATAAATATTGGTACAAGGAAGCACCAGATACATATGCGCCTCACAAATCTCATTCGATTTGTGTGAGGGCTGTGATACTGCCCAGGTGCCCAGACTGAAGCAGGTGGTTTTCTTAGGGGGCCACACCCAGAGCCTTTGACCTGAATGTCTGATCCACAAGGCAGTGGAGCATCGTGAGGACATGCAGTCCCATGGTAGCCGGTGATCAACGGTTGATTCGTACGCCATTTGTTCCCTCAGGATACTGGAGCCCATGTGCACCACTGGTTTGGAATCAGGGTTTTCCAACTCCCCTAGGTGAACTTTCCATGTCCACCAACCCGGTTAAAGCGCCGGACATTCGCTTTTCGTCCTCTCACTTTTTTGAACAACACCCCCGCTACGAGAAGGCAGTGAGTAGGACTTCCCTGACAGAGGCTATATATTCGCTGGCCATATGAGGGCATTTCGAGAGGGAGAGGTGACTCTCCCCACTCTCGGCCGTACCAGGGCATTTGGGGGCAAACTTTTGGGCTCGTACGGGATTCGAACCCGGGACCACTCGCAGCCTAAGCGGGTATCATACCCCTAGACCAACGATCAGATTAGAGTAACTCAGCGGACATATAGGGTGAGTAAAATAGCCGAGAACGAACAAGATACATGTGGCATACTGGCTTTCACACTGAATCATCAATTCTTTGAACCTGTTACCTGAAGAAGTGGTGTCTGTCCCTTCAATTGACTCGCTCAAAAGGAGACTAGACTAGAAGCTTACCAGAAAAGGACTAGCACAGGCCGTAAGCCTTCTGTTCTCAATACACAAATCTGAATACAGTCTGATCTAAATAATGGAGGAATTACGTGACTTCGTTTTGTCCTTCGTTTAGCGTACGAAAACAATCGTTTTGGGCAAGTACGGCTGTTGTATTCCATATCGTACTCTGTATGGAGAATTTACTCGACATCCTGACAGCGATCGTTATTATCAACAAGAGCTTAAATAAAATTGTTATAGCTGGTAAAACTATCGGCTTCTAGTTTCGATTCCCAGATTGTCATAGTCTGAGGTCTGTGTTATTACTGATTGTTGTCTATCGCCTTCCGTAGTAAGTTTGAACTTGTTTTAAAGAAGTGTTCATCATTTATTGTGTGAAGTAGGTCAGTTTCAAGATTGGCGCTGTTTGCCAACCAGTTCCACGTATCTCTATTACGCATTAATACCAAATTATCTTAATTTCCGATAATAGTGGACATTCAGTATAATTTTTCATTTCTACTTTCATGCGACTCAATTTAAAACATTTACTTAGACAGCGGATTCCTCGGTTGTTTGCGTAGTACTCAGATCTCATCGTACTAAGTATGAAACATCCGTTTTCTTAACTTAAATCATTCCACATGATCATGTTTGGTCTTAACGTAACACAATCAAATCGGTCGGCAAACAGTAAGAAAACCTATGTTAGTTTTGATAATAGCCGAATTTCATGTGACTATCAAACCACCAGATGAATTAACGGTAGAAACGTCACTGCATTTAGTTGAAGTCCTACTCGTTGATAATCTGACATCCCTTTTGGTTGCTATTTGGTAATTAGTTGGTTCTGGTTTTTTGAAACCATTCAGTGTATATTTATACACATCAAGTACCACTGTATTCTTTTGATCCATTCTTATTTGTATTGCTCTCCACATCTTGACATTGATAGACCAGGGTGATTGTAAACAGTTTTTACCTCATGATTGCTCAAAGTATATTCATTTATTGAAGATATTTTTTATATAGAAAGATATCTCATTGTGATCTCGTTTAATTTAACCTAGCATGTGTGGTCATATATAAGAGCCTACAGAACTAGTCAAATTTACATTTTTTAAATGGTGTATTATCTCGTGCTATAATAGCTTTTTTATATTATTAACAATGTGGTATGAATGCCCTCTTGAATTGATACTACACTTCAGAAAATGATAAGTTTTAAGTAATTGCCTGCCTATTTTTTGGAGTTCTACACGAATATTATTTTTGGACTTGTGTCTAGTACCTATTTTGCAAGTTGTTTTCGTCATATGACATCCTTAAATGCGAATACCTACAACTAAAGACTTAAAGTGCTGATTCCAACATCAGTAATGGGTTTCGCTTCATTCTGTTAACTTTCCTGTCGAAATTATTTAACAATCCAAAGATGTCAGGTCCTTGAGTGATTACCTTACTCGAATTGTATCTAAGTAAATTCAAATGTTGGTAGCTTTCCTCTTTGTAATGTGCCTAAGTAGTCTAATAATACCTCCCAAATGTCATCTACCAATGTTGCCAGGTCATCTTCTCAGAGTGATGTGACTTATGGGGTATGGAAATCTGAACCAACGTACACATGTGGATTCTGTCTCGTGTGACATTCACCATATCTCTGTCCCCCGATTCGTGAAGGCCAATGTTTCAAAAAATTATTGGGGTTATCACGAATCATTCTCTTGTACTTCCTTGTGAACCTTAATAAATCCAAAGCACTTGTGTTGTATTTTTCGGTATTTAAATTTACCTTCAACCGTAAGTAACTCCAACTGCTTCCATACTTTCTTCTCGAAGTTGGAGTTTCTATATGTCACCATATTAGGTTGTGCCCGGATCACCATCGTGTCGTCTAGAGTATGAACGGTTGTGTAACTGGTCTTTAAATATCCCCAAGTAGTTTTTGTGCGGAACTATGTATTGACAAATCAGTTCACTTAAAACATCTCATATATAGTTACTAGATTATATGATTTAGTCTGTTTGGAATAAACACATCATCCTTCTTAGTAATCTGCTAAATAAAAGACGACATCGCGTTTCGATATCCCCTTCTTTGCCATATGGAAATTCACTACTGTGAGGTCCTTGTTCTGAGCGTATTAGCGTTATTCAAATTCACCACTTCTTGCCTTTATCTGATGATAGAAATGAAACGATCAGGTTTCGTTCTGTCGTTTCTCCTAAAAAATATGCCTCACCTTTTGACCGGAATTTCCTGGTATTTTTGAACTCCTTCTTATGGAGGATCGATGATCCTCATTTCTCTTTTTCATATGATTTATATTTTGTCCAAGCTGCTATGTTTTTTTCATACATGGATCTAACCTCTTCTTTGCAGCATATAACTGTATTTATATCTCTATTACTATTGTCCGAAAATAACAATTCAGACCCTGCCAACCACTTTTTTCATTAGGTGCAAAAAATATCGGCTTACAATTGAAGATTGTGCCAGAAAAGTGCGGAACTACGCAACCAAGTGGCCGCATCATCTAAAGAAGTATCGGGAAAGTCCACAAAAGTTATAATTCTTTCGGTACTTTAAATTAAATTCATTGGAAACGAGGAATATGCGTCAGCAAGGATAAAGCTGAGTAAATTCCCCAGCGGAGAAAAACGACCCTCCGCGTGGCTTTTCCAAAATTACGAATAGTGACCCATTTTTATATGTATTTCCGTGTTCTATTGGTTCTTTGACACCATCGTTTAAAAACAGGCTTAATATTTAATCTGCCGGACTTAATTTTTTCAAAGTTTTAATGCTAATGTATATCAAATCTAAAGTCATTTCTCAAGAACTTATTCGTCATCAGTTTATTGCCTTTATACCACTGGTTTCTTTAATTGTTCAGGTTGCAGTATTCGAGTAACCTCCAGTGGCAAATATTTATCTTTTTCCATGCTCAATAAAGAATTTCTGTTATTGACTAAACTGAGATCTTCATAAAATCGACTAATCAAAATATATTGTGTAATAGTGGTTTACATAGTACTCTGCACTTATAATCGACATGATCCAATCTGCAAAATACAAGTAACTCCCCAAATCTAACCCACATATCCTCTATTTTCCAAGGCCACATTTTACGGTTATCGCGTAATACACTATCTCACCTATTTGCCTCCAAATTATATTCCGTATATTTTTTTCTTACCATTATTAGTATTACTGTTGTCTAGACATCCTTAATGTTTATCTCGTTATGTTCCCGATACTACTGATGTAAGGCAGATTAAACCATCATTTATGTATTCTAGTTCCTACCCCTAAACTAATGATAGGGAATTAAGTAATTGGGTGCTTCAACTGCTTTGTTTATCTTGGAAGTTTCATCAGGTGTCTGACAAAATTCCAACGCCGATTCAAAAAGCTTTAATGACTTTTATCAGCTTACTTTACTTTTGGTGTCCGTCTCGACTAAAGTATGAGTATACTGCTTAGTAGTTCCCTCTATTCTACTTTACGACTTAAAAACAGAGGACATTCAAAGGGTAACTACGGTGTAAATTTAAAAGTTGATTTTCAATCAAGATAAAATGTAGTAGGTGACCTAATTGTAAAGCTTAAAGCGGCCATACCCCATAAATGTGGAATATTGTTAAGTAAAATGGCTTCTCATACAACATTTAGTATATACTTCGTGGAACATCCACGTCATTGAGCAACTTGACACTTACACAACTTTTTTGTCTTATTCATTTAGTTTTTGAATGACAATTATGATCACGCGAAATAATCTTGGTTCCTTCTTTTCGAAGAGTTATTGTAATTTCGAAGTATCACTTCTTCGAAAAACTGTTGTTGTTATACATGGAGATGACTTTATTCATTATATATTGAAGAACGTGATTGGTTTTGAAGATAATAATCATAACGAATTCCTTCTTTTCTCAATGACGGCTTCTAATTTGATAAACCAAGTAAAAATGTGTGACATTCAACCACTCTTCATTTTTGATGGTTGCACTAAAGTTGGAGTAAGTTTTATTTTGAAATATATTATTTCTTCAAGCGAAACTTTTGTTGCAAATATTTACTTATTACTCCCTGTATTATCCTTATTCGAACGAGCCGGCTCACCCCTGCCAGCCCACCATTTAGAACAGCTACGTGATGCTAATTTATTTATAACTTCAATCTCAAAGTCTTTACTTTTTCAAGACTGTACAACTTTCAAACATTTTAGTTTTCAATTAACGATTTGAAAGCTTCCCGGTTTACTGTCTCCCGGCTATATAAACTTATCCACCAACATCTTTCTCACGTATAAGAAGACTCAACAAGTATAGGTTAACTTTCAGAACTGTCATTAAAGGTTGACCTACCCCAGTTTTTAAACGAACAACTTCTCCGCCCCTTAGACTAAAATCAAGCAATATAAATTCGTTACGTATTCAAAATGACCGTCAGTATATACAAACTTCACTTGACCCCTTAATCGGTAAGCTAAATATGTTGAGAAACATGTGCAATTTTCGTTCAATTCATTTGAAAAATCCATTAGATCTAAGTATAAATATATCCTAAGTATAAAGTTATCTAGACTGAAATTAGAGGCTTTGTCCGTAAAGGTGGAAGCTTGGAAAGAAATGAAAAGCATCCACAACTTAATGTAATCATATTTACTTGCATATTGATGCTACCACATATAGTCAACTTTCTGAGATGAGATGTTTCAAATTATACAGGTTCAAAACGTCACATTTTGAAACAGAAAAAATATCTAAATAAACAACTAGAATATGTATCGAAAAACCATACAAAAAAAAGAATCATGAGTTACTCAAGAGCTGGAAAATTACCAAGTGTGAATGTTGTTGTCTCAAGTACCATCAAAGTAAACTTTGTAGTTTACTCTTCTTTATATTTACATTTCCTCTGTTATTTGTTACATACCAACTAGTTTTATAATGTTTACCTTTACCTGTGTGTAATTAATCTATTTCCATCTCCATAATAACGAAAACAATTAAGGTGAATCCAAGACCATAGCTTTGATGATAAAAAAACTTATTTCTGCTTAAATCCTTCGACTTAGCTTCTAATAAGCAGGTAACTTTGTATTTTTTGAGTTGAGTCAATTCATTAGAGGTAAAACTGTTTAGTTAACGAAATGTCGATTTTCAAAACCATAAGCGTACCTAGTAGTTATCAAATTTCTCACTGTTATATTTGAATCACTGACCAGCCCGTATAAGTTCCGTGTCCATGACATTTACCCGACTACTTGGTTCTTTTATACCCAGTTTTAGTTAAAAATCGCATTGGCTTCCTTCGTTAGTTAGTTTTAAATCTTGCAATATGTGACACAATTCAAACTATGAATAAATGCTTGTAAACTGAATACCTAGATATCTGCTTCATATTTGGATAACTGTGCAAATTAAACACTAATGCTGTATCTCCTTTGCCACCTTTTATATAAGTATTTTGGCTTAGATTATCTTTGTCCCCCAACTTATCTATTTTCTAACGAGTCGGCACCCCTATTTTACTTCCTATCTCATCCTTCTCCTTTTTCAGCAAAACCAATCACAGTACAGTAATCAGATGTGGTCCGTAATCAATCGTTATAAATCATCATTTGTAGATGTGTTGTCGTTCTTTCAAATAAAATATATGACATCATTGTATTCAGCTCAGTTTGACGCTGCTTCATTATCCATATATTTACATTGTCCGTTTTTAGCATCCAGTTATGATATTTACTACATGTTTCCTGCTCAAGCTACTAAAACTGAAGCAAATATTATGCAAGAATTAATCTACGTTCCGATCCATCTCCTAGATTTTTTTAGCTGCAAAAATGATGCTATTATTTTGTCTCATGTTTTCCACCAAAAGTTTTCTCGTTTTTCGTCAGTTGCACCCCATTTACGACCTCTATTAAGTGTACTCTATGCTGGGCGTTCCGAGGTGCGTGCTAATGTATATAAGCAGTTAAAATATAGTAAGACAGATTACTCCAAAGACACTGGTCCTTGTTTACACGAATGGTTTGTTCTAGTTAACTGGTTGGTAAATTCATCCAATGTAAATTATGTTACACTTTATGAGTATGTTATTCAAGCACATCGTACTGAAGAAAGACAAAGCGTGACTGAATATCTTCTGGATTGTATTGCAGCTTTCATGGATGACGTTCGAGAAACTGGACTTGAAATAGCATCTTACTTTTGTTTGGTAAACTCCAGTTCCAATGTACCTAAGGATAAGCTGATTGAAATTAGTAAAAAAACTAATGCTTCAGTAAGCTTACAACATATGGATCGTCTGATCAATCAACTCAGCACCAAACAACCAATAAAGTCCAATTTTGCTCATGATTGGCCTCTTAATTTGATAGAACTGTATAGAAAGGTTAAACTTTCTCCAGCTATTATTGATATTTTACACCACTCCATTAGAAAACCGTTTCTGTCAGTTCATGCTTACTCAGTCAATTTACGCTTACTTGTTTATCGAATTCTTTACGGGTTAGAGAACTGTTCAGGTGTAAAACTAAATCCAGATATAACTGAGTACACATGGATCAATGATAATATGTTAACCGAGATCCCTCTCACAATCAGTCCTCTTCTTATGAATCCAAATAAAAATAATTCAGTGGATGAAATAGTAAGCAGTCAGTTGAATATCCCTCTCCCGCAACATACACCTAATCCTGATTGGATTTTTAGTTTGGCTATAACTTTAGCATTTTGGCATCAACAACGTATCAATAATGCTGACGATGGCTATGAACGTCATTTCGAAAATTCCCCAATTGGTTTAGCTATTGCAACTTGTGCTGTAGTCAATGTTTTCAATATCGATTTCATGAGTAGCAATTTACAAGAACATTACACACGGTGGATTGACTTCATTAGAAACGAAACATCACTTGCTTCCGAACGTGCTTCGTCACTAAATCAGTTTCCATTATTTTGTACGAAATCTGTCACAGAACAAAACTTATCAAACCTAATTGCTGTTCAAAATATTTACAACGAATTACAGACCGTTGTCTCATTACTAAACTGTTTAGCAGGGGATGAGAATAAATCTAAATTATTTAATTTTCTGCCTTTTTGGATTTTGTTCCCTTCCTTTCATCTAATAGATTGTCTTTCTCATCATTTAGATAATCAGCTGCCTTCTATCCGATTAATTCACATAACAAGTTACTGGATACCTCGATTATGTTGTGCTAAAAGACCTAACAGTCTGATAACTGATTTTATAGACATTTTTAAACGCTTGGTTAATATTGTTACGCTGCTTTCTGAATCATCCTTATTTAATCTGAAATCTAGTAGTATAACTAGAAAAAGTAAACAACGTGCTCCCTTAACAGAATCCACTAACACTATTCCGGTTACTAATGTGGACTGTAATGATTCGACGTTTCACAACATTAGACTGACTTCAGTATTATCTGACGGTAAAGTCGGCAGTGTACTTGGCAAACATCTAGATACACAAGTGATTGACAGGTTTCTCTGTGATTTGACTGAGAAATAAAGTGCTGCGTGATTGTTTCTTTTCGCATGTCTTTATTTCCCTATTTCGATTATCTCTTGATTCACTTTCCATCATACTTACAAATTATTAGTGCTTTTGAATATTTGCTGAAAAATTATTAACATAATTATGTTTACGATTGATGCAACCATTACATACAAATTTCCCCACTTATCAATGTCTAAAGTAGGAACAATTAGTGTAGCAGCATAACATGAATTTATTAAAGATTGCAAGTACCTGATGAGAAACCGTGGAACATGATGGACTCATGTTATTCTGCTACGTTAGTTCTTGCTTTAGTCAAATGATGTAACCATCATAAACTAGTCATGATTGTCAGGGAAGTTGTTTTGTACAGACATTTACATTTTATTCTTAATTTCGCTAAATTCTAGTTTTTTATTGTTACTTCCTTGGCAAAATAAAACCACTTTTCATATTTTTTTTACTTGTCATAATTTTAACTAACTTGAAATATCACTGGTTATTCTGGGATTTTTTATATTAGCGGGATATAGACTGGATTAGAATGTATTCCGTACAGGATTGTGTTGGCGCGCGCTGATTGGCTATTTCTTGACCAATCGGCGCCGGTGAATACATGGAGAAGACTCTAGAATCTTCGCATGTAAAATCTAAATATATTAACGTTTTTCTTATTGTGATTCATGCTTCTATGGAAACCCTTTTTGTTTGTTCAACCGTGTTCTAATTTGGAAACTTGTCGAGTGAAGTAGTGTACAAGATCACTAAGCAATAAGAGTCGTTGGGTCGTAATAAGTGAAATGATAGCAGTGACGACGAGGAAAAGGAAAAACACACTCAAGATGCCGATATCAGATGACCAGCTCAACCGAACACTACAACAAGCACAACTTGATGCACAAATGCAGTTGTTAGAAAGTCTGACGCAACAGCTTGAAATCCACTACCCGAGTTCACACGCTATTTCAAGTACTCCGTATGATGCAATGGCCAGCGGCGTCTTAGGATTCAACTATAACCCCGAAAGTGGGAATACTTTTGTCACGGGGTTCAAGCGTTGGGAAGATACATTCAGAATCTTCATAGAAAATGCCTCACACTTATGTGTAAGCAGATTATTCGAAATGTATAGCGTAAATAAATCACAATCTTCAGACAAACTACGTCTTTTCATTGCTCTATCGAAATTTATAAGAGGGAATAGTTGCTTCAAAGTAAAAAACCACAGATTTTGATGTAGATAATTTTAAGTATCGTCAGGGAGCATCAGTTTTCTCAAGGTTACAGATACACCTTGATGACGAGTGCCAAATAGCGCGAAACCTAGGTCTAGGGTTTCCTGTTGACTACCTCTAACCACTATTCGGTTTTAATATACTACACGTGATCTTGAGTCACCTAGACTAGTGCTCATATCGCAACGTGGTCGGTAGAATTCAATCTGCACTAAGGAAGACATTGGTAAATATCTAGTAATCAATCAATTGCAATTAAAATGTATCTTGATCAATGCGGGAAGAAATATTAAGTTGTGTTATGAATATCACTGGATGTAGACCGAAATACGCTGTTACTTAAAATACTGTGACTTTATGGTTTTATTTAATTTACTGCTAAAATGGAAACAAAGAATTCAGCAAAGTTTTATTATGATAAATATGTAGAAAATTTAGCTAATATCTACTCTTGTGACAGTCCAATGTATCGTTATAAGCATCTACGCATACGGATACTAATAATTCTTTTTCATATACCATTATCGTATCCTGTTTGTGGATTATAATTATACCACGGTGTATTTTTCTAATTATTCCGTTCTATTTTGTTGTACTCTATTGCATCGTATTCCATCGTGATATATATTTCATGACGCGTAATAGTCTACTTACTAAGCGTCAGTTTATTCACCAGTCATTACGTTATATTGTGGTGCATGCTACTTACGCCGACATATATAAGTAGTATGTAGCAGGAATTGGAATTGCAATGCCTGTCAGAAGATTGGATTTACAAAAATAGGTAGCAAACGAAATGACAACAGAATTGAAAAAACACTAAAGCTTGTAAAGGACAACTTAAGGAACATGTGCAAATAATGTATTTAACGTATGATTTTCATACATTAGGAAAGCCCCTAGATTTGCAAACATACACATAGATATATGATGACAGCAGTAATTAAAAAAAGCCAAACCATGTATAACGGATATCAAATACCTTGAGAAATGTATATTTCTAAGAAGTGGAGATTAGTTTTAATACTGATTGTATTATTCTCTCAAATATAGTTAATTATCACTATTCATAAATACATAACCAACAATTCATTGGAAGAGGAATTCTTGAATAATGACCTTTATGTAATACGAACATATTATGTATGTGTACCAAGTCGGGAAATATATGGCTATAATGTGACTCAGTTGAATAACGTGGTTATAGGGAACTATACAAGATTGAATGGACTCGATCGATCAGTTCATCTGTTTCATACACCGTTAACCTACGGACTCCTCGATATACAAATTCCATTTACAATAAATAATGAGAAACAAATGAATGATATGTTGAATGAACGTTATGTTTTGTCGAATAGTAGTGATATAATTGTAATGTCTGATGTGAATTCAAGTGTGGAGACGAGAAAGCGGAATGTTCATCATCCGAAGTATTTCAATGTGACAGAAGCACTTCATGTTATTGAGGTTGGGTTGTCTGATGACGGAGTAAGTTGTTTGACTGATTGTAAAGACTATATTAGTCTATGTAGATGTTGACTAATGAATTGTTTGTTCGGTTAGTAAATTTCTGTGTAATCAGCATTAAGCAGATTGTCACATTATGAACCGATTTCAGTGACAAACTGAAAAGCAGGAGAGACTGATCGTCTGTCTCAATCTTTTGCGAGACTCTCCAGCAGTGCATATCTAACTACCTGAATACTGACTGAACTTTGGACTATCAGGTTGAACATTCAAACCACCAACTGATCCGACACGTATTAGTGCACGTGTTCAACTTAGTCATTTCGTAATACCCATTACCGTTGGCGATATTTTGCTCATACAAGACTCCAATGTAATCCAGTGGTCACTGAATCTCACCAGAACCTAGTAAATTATCTCGTCGAGCTAGACACTAGTAATTATATGGTCATGTAGTATCAGTTTACATGTTAAGTCCATATACTTTATTCTAGCTTCTGGCCAAGCCAATTCACCTATACATTGAGTCATATTTTGATCTTGTTAATTATTCGCTTATTAACCTTGACTAAATTGAAAATAACATTTGTACAAGATTTAGCCAAATGTAGTTGTGAATAGGGAGAACAGTAATCAATAGACTGGGGATAACTCAAGAATGGTAAATCGTATAATAATAGTCTATAGGGCAAAATAAAGCTTATAATAAGAGGAACATGAATATGAATAGTTAGGTTACTTAGCAATTATACAATAGGAAATATACATATTACATTGGTCCATAAGTAGTCTTCAAAAAGTTACCATTCACAATTCTCTTCGGGATACAACAATTACAATCCCATAAAAATATGCCTTTTATATCTCTTACTCAAGTGATACCGGAGCTTATATGAACTCTTCAATTCCTCTATCATCATCATGCGACTCACTTTATCAGTAACCAGACTCCATATAATTACTGCCTCAACCTCCTCTGTTGTTTAGTTCCATCTTCAAATGACCTCACACTTGCGAATTCATACATACGAATACGTTTGTAAGTAGATTATGCGAAACGATAATATGAAAAGAATTTCTATTATTTTCCCTGATTTGTTACTTCAACTTGATCCAATATGTATAGCATTGTGTGAAGCCACAAACATTTGAAAATTAGATGAAGTTATTTAGGTACTTCATGAAAATCGTCATATGCAGACAACTAGTGAAACAACAGTATTGCGTCAAGAGATAATTGGGAAGTAATATGTGTATCATTAGAACTGGGTTTTTCACTGCACATTAATCACCATTTCTATTACTCGATAGGGACTGATGAAATCATAGTTATAAATGCATGTCACTTGTGTCCGAATGATTACTGTATAGCTGACCATACATACATGAAATTTGAAATCCATTGTTATTCTCTTCCTATTCATAATCCTCGTTGATTTTTTGCTAGTAGTGAATGAGTGCTAAAATTACACCCGATGATGTCTAGAATCTGTACCACGTATGTAAAGCTTCTAAAGTCTATCACCGAATGTCTCTTTACAACGATCATCAATTGAAAAAGAAAGAAGAGGTAATGAGTTGATTTCATGTATTTCTCAGTACAATTTAAGTTAGAACGTGATGATATTTAATATGGAGTTAGGACATTGATTGGAGATGATTGAAATATTCCATCATCCAAGTGTGTTATTTGGTGATATTCGTGTTCTACAATTCGATGATTCTACAGATAAATAGGTTCGATTGATCTGTGATGTCTAGACAGAAAACTGATATTTAAATAACCGAATACCGTCAACCATGAGAAGAAGTTAGATCCTACAGACTAGTTCTATTTCCAACTATCGAACGAATGTGCGGAAACTCTACTGGAGATTCGAACAATTATAAAAATTAGGGATGATTGAGAAATGCTAAGAATGGAAAAATGAAATGGTTACCATAATCAAACAGAAACCACATTAGAATGATTAGAATTATTGTCTGGTTATACGAAGTTCATTAATTACCACAACCTCTATTTACAATAAAATTTCACAGGATATAGTTAGTCGAAACAAACATTGTCATTCATTTCTTGATGAATGCTTGATAGAATAGTACATATGGATTATGAAATAAGCGGATATGGCATACTGTCTTTCATAATAAGACTAATTCATAATATTCATTGCATGGATAAATGATAGAAGATACTGCAACTCATTCTCGCATGATATATGGAGAAGTTATGCGGTTGATTGTAGTTGTTGGAGCCATAATAAATCTCAGTAACAATGAAATCGAATTACAGTTGGGAATTTAAATTTACTTTGAAATCACAATATGATTTAGTTTGTTATTTCATGCTGTCATATTAAGTTGTTCAATCACACAGAGAAATTATTTTCGAGAAAATTTGAAAATGTGGTGACTGTTACTACCTCCCGTAAACTTTCATTATTATGGAGAGTTTAGTCCACTATTATGGGAGTAAATCGATGTATTCAATAATAATAATTCATTCATAGAGTTGTCAATGAATGAATAAGTTTGTAGGCTCTGAATTTTCTCAGATAGACTAGGTTATTAATGCTTCTCATTTCAACGTGTTTTAGAGCTTCCTTGAAGTTCATAGAGTTCGTTCGGTGTGATGACCCTGATGGATTTTGTCGGTTATTGATTCGTATCACAAAAGAACAGATCAGCATATAGTTTACTGTTATAGCTTTCCAACTTCAGTCCTCAATAATAAGGATAGTAGGTTGATGAACATGTGTTAATCCTGACAGATTTCCTTCCAGTGAAGGTCCAGCTTCTTCTTGAAAATGTTCACTGATTGTGCTGAAACCACTTGTTTTGGTAAAGCGTTCCAGTCATTGACCACTCGATTAGAAAAACGGGACCCCACCCTTAGTTTATTAGATCGCGGTTTCTGAACCTTCTTGGAGATGTTATACTTGTGGCCGAGTGGATGACTTGCTAATGTGTGACTTGATGAGACCGCCAATTAGAGAGCAGCGAATTATCGACTGGAACAGTGACACACGAAACCCGTACGAGCAGACTAGAGTGTTGACCGGTCCTGCGATCTGCCTAGCCCAGCCAGTTAAGTCCAAACACCAATAACAGCCTCAGTGGTATGAATCATTGTATTTCAAACATACTGAGTTTATATACCAACTAAACAGACCATATCGACCCATAAAATAGATAATAATATTTGTACAATATTTAGCCGAATGTGGCTGTGAATAGTAATCAATAAACTGATGATAACTCAAGGATCGTATAATAATAGTTCAAAGGTCAAAATAAAGTTAGTGATAAGAGGAAACGTATACGATTAGGTTAATTACAATACGAAATATACATATTATATTGGCCAATAATTAATCCTCAAAAGTTACCATTCATAATTCTCTTCGGGATACAACAGGAGATTATTAGTGCTGGGGGGAGCAAAAAGATAAGACATATTAACACCCAAATCATAATTAAAGATACGAAATGCCAGTATAAGGATACCTCGTGTCCTACAATAAGTGTGGCCTTACATAGGTGGGATATAAAATTCGAAACATATCCTCGTCGAAGCATTTAAATGCTCTGCGAAGCGACCATAGCGCACGATAACCATTGGAAGCAACCGCATTGCAGTGAGTAGTGGTTTCCAAGTCGTGACTTATAGTCACTCCTAAGTCTTTATGTTCTTGCGCGCGTGGAAGAGATGTACCATTAATGGTATAGTGGCAACTAATATCGTGTCCGATGTGCATGAACACGCTCTTCATGGAATTAACTTCCAAGCCCAATCGTGAGCCCACCTAACTAATTCGTTTAAATCTGCTAGCAGATAACAACGATCAGTCTCATTTCTTATTGTTCTCCAGATTATAAGATCATCCGCAAACAATAACGTCGACGACTTAAGTAATAGAGGTAGTTCATTAATATACAGAAGGAAAAGTAAAGGGCCTAAGATGGTGCCTTGGGGTACACCACTTTTGACCAGTTTCCATTCGGATAGCGTTCCATCGACCCTTACTCTCTGTCTGCGGTCACATAAGAAGCTTCCTATCCATTCCTGTATAGCACCTGTTATTCCAAAGCTCGAGAGCTTTTGCATAAGACCTAAGTGTGAAACCTTATCGAACGCTTTGCTAAAATCTATGAATATCACGTCGACAGACAGGCCGTTATCTAGGGCATAAAGGATGTTCACGATCAAGGTACTTTAAAAGACTAGTATTTGAACGAAGAATATTCTTTTCGATAAATTCTCCTCAGGTTCTACAATTATATATCCAAATTAATAATCCGAAAAAATGGCCAGGTTAAAGGCAAAGTACATCGTTTAAATCATGTAAATTTAGGAATGTCAAACCAAATAGAATAAAATTGCTAATGTTGATATGACTCATATAGAATGTTAACACTTGAATCTGTATATATGTTAAGTGAAATTTTAAGATCTGTGATCAGAATAAATATGGGTCAGATAGGATGAGAAAGACATGATAGTGCAATTACAATTTGATCAAGCGGAAGACTAAATTGTGTGGAAAATTAGTAAGACGTAATAAGGAGGGATCAATGCGAAGTGAATGAATCATATATAGGGGAGATTAATTATGATGTTTAACCAATAATAATAATAATAATAATAATAATAATAATAATAATAATAATAATAATAATAATAATAATAATAATAAAAACAAAGATTTGTGAATAAGGATAAGAGAGACAATCACATTTGACTACGAAAGGTCGTAAGTACATAGTCAAATTAGGTCATCCAAGAGAAAAGATTACTATTGATTAATTGGCCTTTTGGTTGGCCAAGGGAGGAGCAGGGGTTGGAGACATTTCTTCTGTACTCATAGCTCCGGTTTCCTCATCCTGATGGCTACTGCCTCCGTCGTTTGAAGGACTTTAAGCCTGACAAGCTTTGGCAAAAAGTTACTGACCCTATAAATAATTGAAAAGGATTGGTTTATACTGACACTGTGACCAATTTGTACTAAATGGGCCAATATCGAGCTGTTTACTTTCTTCTTCAAACCTTTGCTTAGCCACGCTGGAAGATGTTCACGAACACGAAAATGTAAATTCCTAGAACTTCGACCAGTATAACTTGCTCCACAGGAGCAGTCGAACTGATAAATACAAAATGAAGTGGTCATTCTAGGTACTTCATCTTTAGGCCTCGGTGTCACCATTGGACGCGTAGAAAACAATAAACGTAGTTCACCGACGTTGAAAGATTTTTGGATTGATCTGCATAATCTCTGAGTAAGTATTTCGCCAGCTGGATCCTCTCTGAATTGTAGGCGCATGAACAAGGACTTCTTCTTGACCGTTTGAATTTCGCCTATTTTCACTTTCATGATCATATATTTAATTATGAACTTTCTGGGGTAACCGTTCTCCCTCAGAGCATTATGCAGTGTGTTTAGTTCATCTTCAACTACATCTGCCGAACATATAGTGTGTATTCGGTAGCTAAGGGTTTTAATCAGGTTTCGTTTGTACTGTAGAGATACAAAGCTAAGGAAGTGCGCATACTGCCCAGTCCAAGTACTTTTTCTGTTTATGTTTCTTCTTAACGATCCATCTGCTTTCTTAGTTAAGAGGACGTCCAAAAAGGCTATTCGGCCGTCACTCTCTTCCTCCAATTTAAACAGAATGGCTGGATGCACTTCGTTAAACTGTCTACGCACGTCTTGTTGTGATATATTCTCTTAACACAGGATGAATGTATCATTCATATATCTACAGTAAAATTTGTATTTTTCAATGATCTTTTTTAATAGACCGTTCTCTAGTTTGGCTAGAAATATATCAGCTAGTATAGGGCCCAGAGGTGAACCCATTGCAACACCATCTGTTTGTCGAAATATTTCACCGTTAAATTTGAAATTCACATTCATGGTGCATTTCAGTAATAACTCTTTCTTTTAACATTCCTAAATTTACATGATTTAAACGATGTACTTTGCCTTTAACCTGGCCATATTTACGGATTATTAATTTGGATATATGATTGTAGAACCTGAGGAGAATTTATCGAAAAGAATATTCTTCGTTCAAATATTAATCTTTTAATATTATGGGGATCTTTAAACAAGGTACTTTAGCCTAAAATCGTGTGACTACTGATAGGTACGTAGTAGTTAGAATAGGAAAATGATAACTTTCTTCCTCTACTAAATCAACCGTTTTGGGATTCTGAATTATCGTGAAAATTTCCTAAATCTATGATCACAGGTAATATGGAGGGATATGTTTGAACGAACAGTGTTATTGAATAGTTTGGATGGAGGCCATGAATGTAATTGAATAAGCGTAACAAAGAAATTGCATCTATTAAATTCAATTTAGTTGGTTTGATATTGGAGGTTATAGTGAGAAATGGACAATTGCATGTGTTGCATAAATAACACAAGCAGTAATGGAAACATGTTCCTAAATACTCGGAAGATTTCGGGGAACCTGAAGAAAACTCAACGACAAGACCAGACCTATCAGGAACGAAATTATAAACTGACACAAATAGAATTGTCTTGACGTTTGTATTGAAAATTCTGACTTTGATGTTGACCGGTGGTTGTTTTGAGTACCAGGTGTTCTTCAGTCGTGGGTGTTCTGAACTTGCATTCTGTTTATCAAGTGTTGTTTTGGTTGTCAGAGTAGGCATCGGTCTGGTGATTTGCAGAGAGTCTGATCTGTAGTCATGAGGCGTGATAACTCTTCTTGATGAAGAACATCCAAATTCTAGAGCAGGGTTTATATGCTTCAAATGATATTTTGTGCTGAGCAGTGTTTGATCAAGAATCTTTTCCACGGTATGTGGTTGCTCATCCAACACTCGACCCTCACCCTCCTTTATCCTGGATTGCGATTGACAGTGACGCTAGATGAGATCCACGTGGAGTTATCTTCTGTTTGAACTTGTTTAAATTCAGAAATCATTTAGTGGAGATTCCTCTGAAATTCATCTACATTCTTCTCTTCTGATTCACTAGATGTTCAGATTTCAAGTTGGAAAAAGAACAATATACAAGGATCATACTTCGAAGTGGTATGTGAAACAGTTATGAGGTTACTGCCCGTTTCTAGTTGAAAAAATGTCAAATGTGAAGAAGTGTCTTATTAAATTTGTAATGCTTTGTACTATCCCTTAGTTCATATTCCAACTTAACGTCAAACAGTTTTAGTTGCTATATGAGCATTCTGTGCTGAATGATTTAATATCACACAAATCTTTATGGAATAGAGGAAAAGCGCAACAAGTATTCCAGTAATAATCATATATGACCATAATTGAATAAACCAACTTGGAATTAAGTTTGATAAAACGGAAAAAATAGGTCACTGAACATGCTTATGTTTCTTATCTATTTTGAAGAGAAACTAGAATTAAACTGAGACAATAGACTAAAGGTTCACTTGCAAATACTTTTGACTGACTATATTGATTAATTTAGATGAAACTATGCGTTCGAAATAGAAACCACATATATAAAAAATACTTAGAGTTATAACAAATCATATGCTGAATGTCATGCTGAGCATAGTTTCTGTTAATTTAATACAAAATATCGTATTCTGATGTTTGAGAGCATTTGAATTATAGTACAAACTAGTAATCTCAAGAATAACGCAATTTCATCAACAAGTATTAGATGAGCACGAACGAATGTACTGTATTTGGAATTCAAAATCAAAACAGTCGTCAATACAAGGGAATCATTGATTCATATAAACACCACGCGTATCATGAACAAAAATCATAATGAGTTAATCAATCTAATTTTCACTTTTCTTCCCGTTATTCATTACAATATTGCAAATAAATATTAATGCTTAATGAATTACATAACTATTGGAGAATTATGTGATTTACTTTTGAGAATGTTGGTTATAATTAAATTTATGAATATTCTATATAATTAAAAGAAGGAATTGATAATAAATACTCGAATTCATTATTTCGAAACTAATTCAATGATATATTAATTATCAGAAGGGGTTTTGTGGAGATTTAATATTTTCATAGTTGAAAGCGGGAGTCAATTGAAGACTACCATGGAAAACCTGGAAGCACTGGACGGCCGTGAACGGTGAACGGTTGCTCAACTTCGTGGATCAGTTGAAGTTAGACATTAACACCACCGGATGCCGGCTCAGTGGTCTGTCGGTTAAGGGCTCTGGCTCGAGACTGGTAGGTCCTGGGTTCGAAACTCGTGAGTGCAGGATCGTGGATGCGCACTGCTGAGGAGTCCCATAATGGGACGAAACTGCCGTCCAGTGCTTTCAGGTTTTGTAAATCTTTCAAAATTGTTATAATCCATATTGAATTTATTTTCAGTGGTAAAATTTCACTCAATCATCAATGAGTATTTCTTATTTATTCACGGATTCATGGTACTATGATATTTATTATTTAAGGTTACACGTACTCAATATTACATTATAATTTATTAATTTTTGTGAGAACTGTTTCACCTTCATAATAGATTAAATATTTTTGTAAAGTTCTGATGAGTAAAAATCAGATTTCTGACGTTTCGTGTCGTAGTGTAAATCACTTTTTCAGAAAATAGAAATAAATAACAAATTATATTAACACAAGTTTAAATGGAACAAGGAAACAAAGCACAATAATTTTAGTCCCATCTTCAGCTTAATTACTTACGCCTGCTACTCCACGTGGAGCATGGGATTTTGTAACCGAATTTGTCCTCTGTTCTCCTATGCATTTCTTGTCAAGTGCTATTCATTCTTTTGATGCCTGCTTCGATTCCCAACTCAATGTATTCTTTGATCTTCCACTTTTCCTGTAGCCTTCAAGATGCCACGTTGGGGCTTGTGTCTCGATGCAGTTTGATGAGTTCGTGAATGTATGTCCTGCTCACCTTCAAAGTCTTTTCTTAATTTCCTCTTCAACTCCAAGCTAGGTTCATTCTCTCTCATAGTAGATAGTTGTTGATGGTACTCGATCAACAGACGTTGAGTATTCTGTATTGTCAAGTGTTTATAAATACGTGTATGTACTTGATGACGATTGTGGTAGTTCTCCAAGTTTTCATTTCCTTAACGTGGAACTGTCGTGACGTTTGTATTAACAATTCTGACCTTGATGTTGACCGGTAGTGGTTTTGAGTACCAGTGTGGTGTGATCTACTTATATATATAAGTAGTATATGGTGTCGGTCAGACATAGAATGTATTTTCGCAGAAGACCGATGAGGAAAGAACTGAAATGAAGCGCAATCGTTTGGAAAATGCATGAGCAATGGAATTAGAGGAAGAAACAGTGAAGATTGAAACAATTGGTTGTTAATTTGCGAATTGACTGTTCATTGTTTGGTTATCAGAATTTACCGAGATAGTCTGTAATGTTTGCTTAAATACATTCGATTGTCCCCAACCAGTGTTCTGTTCACTACACCAGGTGTTCTTCAGTCGTGAGTGTGCTGAACTTGCTTTACCAATTGGTACCTTTATATCTGCGTCAGATCCTGTTTGATTATTGATGATGCTAATTGGGCATGTAGAGCTTATAATCTCTTCCAGATGTTCCCCATCATCATGGTGATTTAGTTGGTGCCCACGGTCGGTCCTCACGGAATCAGGAGTGTTGATCTTAAAGTTGGACGTCCACTGAATCCTCGATCCGGTTCTACAAAACTCTGTTAAAATATTTTCCTGGTAGTGACTATAGTGTGATGCCTCTTCAATTCTCACACTTGCTGAGATCTCCTTTCTTTGTTATCTTGATGAGATATGCCTCTTTCCAGTCTCCTGATTTATGTTCTTCACTTTATTTTTTTTCGATATTTGTTGATTCCTGTCTTCCCCGTTCTTTTTTCCTTGAACCTTGATCAGGGGACAAATAGAGATCCATTCTTCATGACGGTGCTTCTTGGACCCACCATCAAATGGAATTCACTATTCGGTCACCTCCAAGTTGTATCTTTACATTCTCTCATAGTATCTCTGGTTGTGAGTACGTTCCATACGTAGTAATTAGTATCGTACTACGGTCGGGTCAATGTCATGGGAATTCCGTCAAATGTGTAGTGTCTGTTAATATGTTTGATGTGAACCGCAAAACAAGAAGCCTTAACAAATTACGGAAGCTATTTTTGGGGACGTTAATTCATTTAATTCAAAGCTTGTAAAACTGTGACATTTACTTTTGTCCCTAGCCTATTCTACAGGTCATAAGCTTTCGTCTGATGTATGATTCATTGTCATAGCATTTTCTGTTCTAAAGCTATTGTCGTTTAGAGGTAATCTTTTGTACACTATTTTCTACTATAATCCCCCAGTTTTGGACATAATTGTATTTTCCTAATTTTTGAATGTTGTGGTCAGGTTATTCATCTACTTATTCATGTAACTTTTCACCCTAATCTGAATTGGGAATTGGGAATTCGAGTTCTAGATCGGGATTGGAATAAAGTGACTTGTGTTCCAGCTGTCTTTGTCTTCTCTCTCTCTCGCGTGCTTGCCAGCCAATCAGGGACAGAATAGTTTTCGTCTCTCTACCCCCACTTCGAACTCACGCATACTAGCCCCAAGGTTAAGCCAGTCAGCCTATCGGATCAAGGTCTTAATCTACATTAGACAAGTCATACTCGGCACTAAGTGGGTAGAAAGATTCAAGGTCGTAGCAATGTTAAGCCTACATAACTTGTTCTAGCTTCTGGACAGGTCAATTTATTCATTCTTCTTGAGCCACGTTTCGACCCTGTTAATTATTCATTTATCAACACTGACTGTTTTTTATGAGCATATGTGTGTGCACTTCTTATCTTACTCATTACATATCTGTAGCTTATTTTTGTGTGACTATAAATATCGATCAACGCTTGATTAAATGGAATTGGTTCACTATCCTTCTCCTTTGCGTGTCATTTTGTTTTGCTTGATTTTCCAGTCAATGAGTATACGAAATATGCTTTTTCAAACTTTATTCTCGTTACTGATTTATTTGATTCTGTTATACACTAACTCGAGTTAAGTCAATAATAATATACAAGAATAGCCAGGATGTATATTTCAACAGCAATCATTTAGTAACGATCATTTGTCCGCTCTAACAGCAGTCAGATACAGGGACACTAGAAATGTGCCCCTCATTAATCGACTGACAATTATGCATATCAAACGAGGAATAAAAAGGTGGTTTGTAAATTTAAATAGTGATGTGCATTTGATTGCTTGTAATCAATAAATATATGTGCATTCCTCTTGGTCCATCGTAGACTCCTGAGTCATTGATGTAAAACGAAAATTGGTAAATCATTTTGTCAGTTAAAT